TAAATTATAGAACTTTTGATTTTTTTTTATTTTAAATCGATTAAATTCGTATCATATCTTGATGAATGCAATTTTATGTATAAGACAGTATTCCCAAATTTCTTGAATTATGTAAAATAATATACTACTTGTTTTAAAACAAAAGATATAAATTTATCAACTAAAGTTCAATAAAATAATACTTACCTAAAATAGTTGCATCATTTGAATGATCAACCGTCATATTTGACAAAAATAATTTTATACATTAATTACATTGATTTTCTTAATTTGAATTTCAAATGATTGACCGCCATTTTTTAAAAATGTTTAAGAAAGTTACTAATAAAGGTAAAAATAAATTTTTTAGGCGGGATTTTATTTATTATTTGAAGTAAATATTGAAAGAGTATTATTTTTGGCATAAGTTCAAAAATAAATATATTGAAGATATGTTCCTACAAGTACAAAGAATCTACAAAAAGGGAAGTTTATTTGTTTACTTATATAGATATTCCAATTCCTATTTATTTATTTGTTAAGTTGCATGATCTTATTATGGTATGGTTTTGTAGGGTTGTAGCTTGATGGAAGGGACACACGCAAGTATAGGAGAGATCAAGGAAAAAGATTTACTTTCTATGCTTTCAAGTCATGAAAGGAAAGAAGATATTGGAGAGAGAAAAAGGAGAGTCCTAAACCTACAAGGTTGCATATTGGATAAACTTGGAAGGAAGTCAAATACTTGGAGAAGACTCCACACCTAAGGAGATGTATAAATACCCATCTTGAAGATCGAATTAGGGTTGCTGCAATTATCATTGCTCACGCATCATTCGAGCTTTAAGATTTCTCTTGGATTTGTATTCAGTTTTTTGTGTTCTTACGACTTGAAGACTGAAGTTGGTTTTATTCTCTTTTGTTAGTTTTTATTCAAACATCGTTGAGATCAACACTTAGGGATTAAGTGTATGTTATTAAGTCTACGGGACGTGGCCAGAGAAGTAATTGATAGATTCGATCATAGTTGTAGCTAGACTAGAAGGGAGTTCTAGTTGTTATAAGTCCAAACTATGTTCAAGCGAGTTATAAATGAAAGAGCTCTGAGGGAAGTGAGATGTTTCCCTGAAGAGTTTTTAAATCTTCGGTTTATTGCTTCCGCTATTTTAATTGTTTATTCGTGTTTTAAAAACGTTGAGCGCACTCTCGCTAAATACAATGTTTCAAATATAATTTTTTTTTTTGTTATATCTATAGATATAGATATAAATTTTTTAAATTTACAGGCTAAATTGGATGATTTTTATAATAGCATTATTGCAGTTGGTGGTATATCAGCTAATCTTGAATGTGTGCTTGCTTTGTAAGTCTGATATCACCTGAACACGAAGTCACAAACAATATTGATATAGGACAGAAAAGTGACGGATGAACTCTCACCCAGCGAACCACACACTTGTCCAATAAAAATGACCCACGGATCCTTTAAGATCCACACACTTGTCCAATAAAATGACCCGGCCCACATTCGGACATTGAAAGATTCTGTTGGCGACCACGTATATAACTCAAATCAATTTACATTTCATGGCCAAATATAGTCCGATAACATAAGGAGAATATTATTTTTTGATACTAAATGTAAAATGTTGTTGCAAAAACTTCTATATCATTGCATTATTACTTTTGGAATGAGAATCATATCAAATATGTTATAATAAATAGTTCATGTCTGCACAAAATTCTTGTGTAAAGCAGCTTTAATGTTTAGACGGGTAGATTCATCATCTATATCTATATTATATATTTTCTTTTCATGATATTTTTAATGTCATGAGACAATTTTAATAAAAAATATCTTTTAAAAAGTAAATAGGTAATAAATACATCCGTCCATCGCACGGGTGGATACTAATTTTTATAACATGTACGTTTCAAATTAGAAAATTTATGTAAAGAAAAATAGAGTTTTACTAGTCGGAGTCTTGAAATATAAGCCAATTATCAATTCGGGCCTAAAAGATAATTTATATCCAGTTGAGATTTGACAAACAAGGAATTACCAATTTACGTGCCTTAAAAATTAAATTTATCTACTTAAGGCTCGAAACATTTTAACTATCAATTTGAAATTTTCAATACAATTGACAAATTTATATCGACTCATAAATTGATAGATTTTATCTTTCAAGTTCCAAAATAAAAATTAAATCATTTTTCGCGTCTAAGTTAATCTATACTTATATAATAAGAATTAACATTTATCAAAATTAGTAACTTAATTAATGGTCAAAGTCAGTTTTGCATTAATTACTTTCCAAAATCGGTAACTCTTATGTCCATTTCACACGCCTTATTAAGACAAATTTATGTCCTTTTCACACGCCTTTTAAACTCATTAATTATACCGATTTAATTCTCATGAAATAATCTCAATTCACACGCCTCATTAACAGCGTCCTTATGCACAATTTTTATGGTAACGAAATAATCCCATTTCACACGCCTCATTAACAGCATAATAATTCCATTTCACACGCCTCATTAACAACATCCTTATCACATATTTTTTTATGGTAACGAAATAATCCCATTTCATACGGCTTTTAAACATATTTTTTTAACGATAAATTGAAGAAACAACAATCGTATTATAAGGAGAAAATATTTGGGATAATTTTAAGATTACAAAACAAACCTTATCAATATTCAAAACTGATATTAAGTTTGTTATTCATTTCCTAAAACAAATACACGTGTTGAATTATTATCTGTAAAAAACTATACAGAACTACGTATAAAATAGGCAATATAAAATCTACACCAAAAGGACATTAACACGGTTTTACTTTTTGTAAACAATCTCTACTTACATTAAAATTAAAAATTATATTTCTTTCATTTTCTAGGACTCTTTCAAAAGTTACGATTTTTTTGCCGATTTAATTTTCTAAAGTTCACATGGAACAAGATTGCTATTGATTTTCAGCCGATTTGAAACTCTCTTTAACAAGATACTCTCATTAACATATATATGTACCCTCATTACCACCATCACCCATTCAACGTATTACAATTACAATCACATATTGTACAACAAAAAAATCACTCTCTCTGCCATGGATCAAGCATTTGGATTAATCGAAGAAATTAATAGGAGCAAGAGACCTATGCTTAAAGTCCGCATTGTGAGGATGTTTTATCAAGATAAGGGCAGCACATTCAAGTCGCATCTCGAGCTTATTTTGCATGATAGAACGGTAGGCATATGATTTCAATTTCATTTCTCACTATTTGTTATTTACATATCATATAGATTACTTTTACATTTGCCGTTTCAATTTATTTTTGAAGGAAAAACGCATTACAGCTTGACTAAGAGCAGTCCATTTTCCGGGGTTCAAAGAGAAGTCCATGGAAGAGGGCATGGTCATTCTTATACGAAACTACCAAGTTGATAGCAACCTTGGTATGTATAGATCTGCAACTGGCGAGTTTAAGATAATACTACATGGGGGCACTGTATTTATGAAATGCAAAGACACTTTGTCTTTTTTTATGTTTCGATTTCTATTCAGAGACTTTGCAACATTGCAAGATGACAACAAAATAGACGAGTCAATTCTATTCGGTAATTTTACTTTATACTATTGTGAATATTATGTAAAGTATTTGATTTACTAATTATTTATAAAAAAACTATATATATATATATATATATAATAAGAATTATCATTTTTTAAAAATGGAAAGTCAAATTTCAGTCAACATTAAGTACCTACCATTCTTAGTAACTTTTTTTTTTCCTAATAATCATATTAACAATATTTTAAAAGAGTGATTAACATGCTTTGTTATATAGATACATGATTTTCACTTAAAATTGAAATGGTAACAGACTTTGTTCATTAAAAATTGACAACATGTTAACAAGATTTTTCAATTTATGAGGCTTTGTTCATAAATTTTTCAACATGTAATAGCATGTTAACCATTTTTCAAAGTCTGTTAATACATTTCAAATTTTAATAAGAATTACCATGTGAATATGACAACAATATTTATATATTAATTCATTTCAATTTTTAATATTCCCCAAACTTCAAATAATCATATTAATAATACGTTTATATGACAACATGTTTAATGATTAATGAATATTTCTATATCATTTTATTAATATTTATGTGAATAAAATAATATTTTATTATATTTTTTATTAATGTACAGTGAATATGGTTTTCAGAATCGAACCATCATCGAAACTATCAAATTATTCTATTAAATCATTTGTAGTTTATTCAGATTTTAATTTATAAACATTTTAATATCAATATATATATACATTTTAATATATATATATATAGAGAGAGAGAGAGTACTTTTTGTAATAAATTTTAATAAAATGTGTTACTTAAATATCTAAACAATTTATAAATTCAAATGTTAAAACTAATTGATAAACAATTTATAAATCTCTATTTTATTTAAATATGTAATTTTATTTAAAATAATTTTAAATGTAACAAAATTTATTTAGAAAATCGTAACGATCCTACCAGTCTAACTGACTGATGTTGACGGATTCAATAGTAAATATTTTATTCAAGCGAACTACACTGTTTATAACCCGGTTCTCGGTCCATCCGGTCGGACTGTGTCCAGCCTGGTTTAATTTAAAAACAATGGGTAAATCATAATTAATGATATTATATTTAATTTATAATATAATCGTAATATTATTTTCCCGTGCATCGCACGGGCCACGCATTAGTATACATTAAAAATTTAATTAATAATTCTAGATCTTTAGATTGGTGATAGAATACCAAATGAATAAATATTTATTATTGGTTGATAAATAAAACAAGTGAATAGATTAATATTAAATAATATAAAATTATTTGTTCGTCTAGTTCAAATGAGGATTATCCTTAACATGCCAAGGAAATCGCATCAATTATAGAAGAATATCTACATCCGATATAACAGAGCAAATATACTCCGTATCTTAGTTAAATAAAAATGACAATTTTTTCTGTAAGATAGCGGAATTTCAATATGCACATATAATATAATTTGCGTTATTATAGGAAAATTTGGATTTGTATTTGGATTTTTTTGTGGATCGAGCCACCGTTAACACTTAACACCCGCTGTATTGAATCAGACGGCAACAACTCTCTCTCTCTCCGCTGCAATCTTTTAATAAAAGGCCAAAGTTCTATGCTCCTCCACTGTACCATTTATCCTTTCCTTTCGATTCTTCTTCTTCCTTTGGTTATCACCCAATTCCAGTCCTTCCCTTTTTCTCTCTAAAACCTCGAACTCTCCATTGCAATGGGGTCTGACTTCCCGAATATCGTAAAACTCTCCTGCCCGGTGAAGAACTACGACTGGGGCAAGGTCGGGAAAGATTCGGCTGTAGCGTCGCTGTACTCCAAGAACAGCGGTGAGGCGGCCGCCGATGATGCGCGATACGCGGAGTTCTGGATGGGGACCCACGACTCGGGGCCCTCGTACGTAGTTTTACCGGCGGAGGCAAGCGGTGGGTTGTCCAGCCCGGTGAGTTTGAAGGATTGGATCGAGAAAAACCCTAGCGTGCTTGGGGATAAGGTCTTGGAAAAGTGGGGTACCAATCTCCCTTTCCTCTTCAAGGTAATTCTCGGGAAGATCTTTATTTGTTCTCGTCAGAATTTATTGTTTAATGTTATTTGAAAAATGGTTTGAGTGTTTGATGCATTTTTTAAGGTTTTAGGAACATAAAGTATTAAGGAGATCGGTGTGAAGATGTGTTTGTCATTTTGATTTTTCTGCCGCATTATTTTGTAGAATATAAAGTTGATTGATGATAAATTTGGACGCAATTTTCGATTTTTAGGTACTTTCTGTGGCGAAAGCACTGTCAATTCAGGCCCATCCAGATAAGGGTTTAGCTGAGGTCCTGCACAAGAAGCAGCCAAGTGAGTATAAGGACGATAATCACAAGCCTGAGATGGCGTTGGCACTTACGGAGTTTGAGGCTTTGTGCGGATTTGTCAGTCTCCAGGTAGATCATTTACATTCTACCTGATAATGCAGTTATGTTAATTCATGCTTTCTCTGGTTTGCCATTGGAGGATTAATTATTTGTTGATTAAGCACTCCAAAAACATGTAAGTATTGGGTGATTGGTATTGAGTGGTTCAACTTACCAACCACACCCTGATTTCTATAGCCTAGCTAATTTTGGGATTATGCAGATCCAGCTCTGGATGATCTTTTGCTATTTCATTTGAATATTGGCTTCAATAACTTTATATTGAATTGTACTTGTGCGCATCTATCCAACAACTTAGTTTTTTCGTATGGTCATTTCTTCTTTAATTATGTGAAAGAGTTTTAAGTTGACCTTCTCGGATTTATATGGAAGTACGGAGTCTTGACCTCTGGAATTTATATCATTGTTATGTTTTCGATTCTTTGACTTTAAGCAAACTGACCAATTAATGCATGATTTCTGTACTACTAGACAGTATTTTCGGGTAACTGATCGACCGTCTTGATGAAGTTTCACTTACACGTATTCCGTTATTCAGTCATATCTAGGGATGTGTGTAGTTGTGTTAGTTACATAAGCTAAATTGTTGCATATTAGATGTGTCTACCAGTGATTGAAAACGCGTGGGGCGAGCTGAGGCGAAAAGCCTCCTATTTGCCAAAAATTGTTTATATCCTTGTTTCTTAAAGAAATTCGAAAACAGATTATAGTTTTGAAACAGGATTAGCCATTCGATGGATTCTGCATTTATTCAATCTAACTGGTGGTCGCTTACGTTAATGTTCTTTTATCTGCATAAATTTTTGTCAAAAGCAGATGATCTGAATCATTCGTGTTTAAGCATAGATAGTTTCTCTAAAAGAGACGAATTCTTTGAATATATGTGCATTTACAGAAGATAACTCTTGTTTTCTTCTTTTTATTATGCTAATTTACAAGGGTTTCTGTTGGTAACCCTTTTGTTACATTAAAAGCATACCTTGTCAGAATCACCAATTTCGCATTCTGTACGTCAAATGATTAAACCTAGTTTAATACGTTTGGTATGGCTAATATTTATGAAAATTAAATGCACACATTTGTTTCTCTCTTGTTTATAGGAACTCAAGACTGTCATTCAGAGTGTACCAGAGATTGTTGAAGTTGTTGGTAGTTCTTGTGCTGATCAAGTGTTACATACAACTCAGGAGGATGGGGAGGAAAAAGTGAAAGATGTCTTGCGATCCTTATTCAATCATCTCATGTCAGCTAGCAAGTCTGTGATATCTGACGTAACTTCAAAATTGATAAGTCGGTTGAATTTAAAAGAAAAGGTGAATGAGAGTTTTTTTTTCTACTCATTCTTATTCTGTTTAGTTATATTCTTGAAATGACTGTTTTAACATGTATTGATTTTTGTATTGATCAAAATGGCTCAATTAAATTTTAGTGCTTCTTCTATTAGTGAAGTTTCTAGAAAAAAAAAAATATATCAAACGGCGCAATGCACCTCGGGTCGCTACGGAAACAGCCTCCTTGTATAATTACAAGGGTAAGGTCTGCGTACAACTGACCCCCCAGACCCCAACCTGTTGGGAATATACTGGGTATGTTGTTGTTGTTGTATTGCACAACCCAACCTGTGACTAGCTAGTATTTTAGTTTGTATGTGTGTCACGAATTTTCTTCCCTTTTCTCTTTATATATTCCCTTTCATGTGCACAACTACATTTTCCTTTAACGAAGTCCCAATTTATCTGTGAAAATCTTATGCAGCCCCATTATGTTTCAAGTTCTGAACTTCTATGTAGTATGTTCCAAGTAATTTACATGACTGGACTGTTGCTAATTCTTACTGGGAAGTTTTATATATGGAACAGACCCCAACTGAGTATTTGATAAGGAGTTGAACTTTTCTGCATGCCAACGTTAATTCATGCACTCTTTGGGCCAATCCCCCTTATATATTAATTGAGAACGTGTTGAGCCTATTTGGCAGGCTCGCATGCTTCGGAGTCCCATGTGGCAAAATTACATGCTTCGTTATTAGGCTTGGATAGGTTTGGATTATCTATAAATATGTTGATTATTTATGGTAGGGGTTGGATTTGATTTGTCCGCATACCCATCCCACTTTTATGACGGGATGAAGCACCGTCCCCACCCATGTAATACATGGGTGTTATACTAGTATATTGTATATTGAAGATGGGATTGAAAATTTATTAACAGACTTAGTTGTTCTGATAGGAGGGGACCCTCACAGACAAGGAGCAACTTGTTTTGAGGCTTGAGAAGCAATACCCAGGGGACATTGGTCTAATAGCCTCATTTTTGTTTAATTATGTGAAGTTGAAGCCTGGTGAGGCTCTGTACTTGGGAGCTAATGAACCTCATGCATATCTACAAGGTGAGTGCGTAGAGTGCATGGCAACTTCGGACAATGTCGTTCGTGCTGGCCTCACTCCTAAGTTCCGTGATGTTGAAACCCTTTGTTCCATGCTCACATACAAACAGGTAATGGCATGCGAAAAATGCTATAAATACATGATAAATGTACATAAAGGTGTACATAACACTCACATGAAGTGGGATCCTCTTGATTTTTTATTTTTGGTCGATCCCACTCAATGTGAGTGTTATGTACACCCCTATGTATAATATTATGTACCTATAGCATTTCTCATGGCATGCTGAGCTGATTTTTTTTTTCTTTTCTTTTTCGAACTTATATATATATATATATATATTTTAATTGAATTTGGTGTTCATTGTTAAATATGCACGTCTAACTCTTGATTAGAAGTTAAAGTTGGTATTTAAATCCTGTAAGCAACAACCTTTTCTTTCTTTCTTTTTCCTTTTCTACAGGAAAAATAGTTTGTATACAAAAAAACTCAATCCGTACTTAATTCATACTCAAAATCTAACTCAACTTTAACTTAACTCCACTATTCTCAGTATTATCAATATAATTAAATAATAGCAACCAATCATTCTTACACATCATTTTAATTATTTTAACTATCACTTCAAATCATCTTTTTCTTACTTTTACATCAAATTAACTTTAATTATTTTATTTTAAATATTATGTTAATATACAATCAAAATCCCAATTACAGCGAACCATACCACTTTCTTAAAAATTAACTCTGGTTAACAAAATAAACTCATTTTGAGCGAAAATATTTATATACAAACACGCCAATGTTTTCTTTTTCTTTTTTGAGTTCATTATTAAAAAAATGGTTATGTATCTGCATCCATGATTTTAGAAATCTCGATTTTCATGCAGGGTTCTCCAGAGATACTCACTGGAAACCCTTCTTATCCCTACACAGTGAAATATCTACCACCTTTTGATGAATTCGAGATTGAGCTATGCAACCTTCCTCAAGGAGCCTCCACTGTTTTCTCGCCTGTTCCGGGCCCTTCGATTTTCATTGTTCTGAGTGGCGAAGGCACAGTGAGTTCGGCTTCTTTAAAGGGGTTGGCTGTTGCTGAAGGTGATGTGCTGTTTGCATCTGCAAATACTGAGATAGCCACTGAAACTGTGAAAGGTTTGAAATTATGCAGAGCGGGCATTAACAGCAAGTTTTTTGAGAAGTGAGGATGCTTTTTTGAAATAAACCGTGGGCCTATTTTTAATATTTGGCATCCGGATTGTACTTTACCGGTGGACATAAAAACTGAAGTATGTATTTGAGGTGTGGCAGGGCTGCCTTAGGGTACCCTTATTTAAACAAAATAAAGTGAGACTTTTAAGAGAATGCAAGCCACTGTATAGGTGGTGTTCAGAATNCTCCATATAAAAAAATATTAAAGCTTTTAAATTGTATTATTTAAAACTAAAATAATTTGTGTTTTAATTAAATTTTTTAATTATATTTTTTTAATCGTAATAGTTAAATACCCGTATATAATTTTAGAATTGGATGTTGTACTATATTTTTTTTAACTTTATATGTAATTTTAGAATTTGGATAATTAGCTGTTTATTTTTATTAGATTTATAGTATCAATTAAACTTTAAACAAAGATCATTTTTAAAAAGTAAAATGATATTACTTCATCTTCTAAAGTAATATGTGAATATTGGGGAGAAAGATTGAGAATAAATTAATATGATTGATTTAAGTGAAGATATGCAATAGAAAAAATAAATAAAATAAAAAGAAAAGTATTTAATGTAGAATGAAATAAATAATAATTGTTTCAATAAAGAAAATATTTAATGTATTATGAAAATTACCATGCCTAATGGACGTGACATGGCACCCGATTGAAGAAAAATAAACAACTTTGCTAACATTTACCTATTTTTTTATTTTGTCAGCGAACCTAATTATGTATCAATCCAAAAAATAGAAGTATGACAAATACGATTTTGAAGCATGCGAGTCTGCCTTAATCTCATTAGATTCTGGAATTATATATAGGTGTATAACAATCAATCATTCTTACACATTACATCAACTTTACTTCATCATTCATGGGCTAATTCGATGTTGCAGGCACTGCCCTCACATGTTAACTCCTGACACGTGTCCATTCCTTTTTTAGTTATTTTATTTTTTCATCCATTAAAATATAAATGCTTGTGAACGTGTTAAGAAAAAAAAATGTTATGTTCCCAAAAGTTTTCAATCGAAATTTTGTTCTTACACGCAAGGTCAGGGTGAGGACGAACATGTCGCTTGGAGACACCTTGGGTCGACCTTCGGTCTCAAGTCATATGGTCAAATGGGCAATCGAGCTAAGCGAACAGTCTTTGGTGTACGAACCTCAGAGAGTCATCAAGGTTCAGGTTCTAGCATATTTTACTCAAGAAGGCACAAGAATGGAGGTCGAAGTGGCTGTAAGGTGGTAGATATTTGTGGACGGATCGGTCTCCAAGGGAGGAGCAGGCTTGGGGATCGTGCTGATTTCGTTGAAGGATGATAATTTGGAGTTTGCGACCAAGATGGGTTTTAAGGTGTCGAACAATGAGTCCGAGTATGAGGCTTTGTTGAAAGGCTTACAGTTGACTTTGGCTAGAGGAGCTCGAGAAGTACAAGTACATTATGATTCCAAACTGGTCGTAGGACAATTACAAGGAGACTATGAGGCTAAGGAGGATCGATAGCAGAAATATGTGGATGAGGTCAAAACTTTGCAAAGCTCATTCGAGCTGATTCTGATCTCGAGAGGAGAAAATGTCCGAACTGACTTGCTGTGGAAGATAGCTCAAAACCTGGCGGATTGCAAGAGTATGAGTGTTACTCTATTGCATATGGAAAAAAGTGCGGTCGAAGTGGTTGAGGTGTATGAGGTCGAGGATTGGAGGGTTCCCATCATGCAGGAGCTAAAAGATGGGAACTTAATGTGCATCAAGAGATTTTTCGGGCTCATCGGCTCAGATTCAAAGTAAGTAGCAGGTGAAAATGCAGGTCAAGCTCGGCGGTAGGATTAAAGTGGAAGTGGATGGATGAGATTAACTCTACATTAATGGGTGCGCTGCACAAAGCTGCATGGACAACGTCAAGCGACGAGACAGTTGGGCCGAGCCCAAGCACATGGTGACAAGATAGCTGGACGGGCGCATGACGACACGTGGCAGACATTTGAAATTTGAATTTCAAAATGAAAACTCAGCAAAAGGCCGAACAAGTTCGCATAATGACTAAAGAGCAAAAGGGGAGGTCAAAAAAAATAAGGAAAAAGACAACTTACCAGAATCAAAGGTAGCCAACTTCACTTTTGGATCGAGTTAGCCTATCTAGACTAGAGTGGAGAGGACCAGATGATATGAGATAATGTACCAGGTAGACTGGATTCGAGAAACAACAGAACCGAACAGGGCCAACTATCAGATCGAGTGAAGATTGGAGACTGCACAGGTCGAAGAGGGCGCCATGGTATAGGGAGCACCGACATGTCAAATTAGGGTCCTCGGATGGCCTAGTTGAAGTTCAATCTGAAGGTACATCTGGTAGAAGGATCGTCCAGACAAGCAGAACGTGAGAGCTCCATGTCATTGGCACTCTATCTCGAGGTAATCGAGGTCGGTCGCACGATTAGACCGTCTAATAAGGAAGGCTAATGGATAAGAAAGAATATTATTGGAAAAAGTCCCCCACGTGGCCTAATAAAATTAGGCAGTTTGAGCAGTACGAACGGATAATATGGGCAACCCACACAGAAAGACTTGGACGACAAGGTATCATTTATCTATATAAGGAGTGAGATATGCCCACCATTACATTATATTCTCTATTACTCTACATAGTACATACATACATCACTTCATATTCTTCATAGTGCTAATTTAACCATCAGAGGCTCTTCACCGGAAAACTCATTTGGTGTGAGAGTTTTTGCAGGTCTTTAAGCGTTTAACCGGCAGGAAGCTCGAAGCTAGGCTGAATCAAACTGGTTGGAGGTCTTTTGTACAAATAGCATATATAAATTTTAGGGTAAATAATTTTTTGCATCCTGTACTATACGCGTATTTGGCATTTGCAACCTAAAGTTTTTTTTTTCATTATTTGCAACCTTTAATACACGTTTTGTCTGTATCGCAACCTAACGGCCATCGGAGTCCATATTCCACCGGAAAAGCCAGCGTGCGACTTGCACGCTCGAAACTTGAGGGTAAGATCGCCTTTTTCTCTGATGTTTGCAGGACATATTTGTCTTTCCATCACTGAACAAATTCCCGTTAAAATCACGATAAGTGAACAGAGTAAGACGCACGCGAAAATTCTTGGAGACAGCTTGGAGACGATGGCTCAATATTGCAATTGTCGCATCAATGTTGTTACGAAAACGTCGTGGACTGCTCATAATCCAGGAATGAGATACATTTGTTGCTCGAAGTCACGGGTAAATTTCTGAATTTGGGCAAATTTCAGAATTTGGGGAAATTTCTAATTTCTAATGCTTAGTTCCATTTTCCAATGAATCTTGTAGGAGGGTGGTGATTGGTCATTTTTTATCTGAAATTTACTCTAATTTGTGATTTGGGCAAATATAGTGAACCCTAAATTCTGAATTTGGGCAAAATTATTGAACCCTAATTTATTAAATTGATCTCGTAGAATTGAGTTCCCTTTTCCAATGATATTTGTAGGAGGATGGTCATTGTTCCTTTTTTTTTCTGAAATTACCCTAATTTTTGAATTAGGGCTAAATTAGTGAACCCTAATTTCTGAAACTGGGCAAAATTAATCAACCCTAATTTCTTAAATTGATCTCGTAAATTTAAGTTCCCTTTTCCACTGAATTTTGTAGGACGAGGGTGGTTGTACATTTTGGATGTGGATTGAACCACCGTTGTGCCCTAGAGCTCGTGAAATCATTCCAGGGCTTTTGAAGCGTGCCAACAAATTTGAAAGCGAAACTCAAATTCTTGAAGCAGACGTGATGAGGTTGGAAAATGATATGAAGATGCTTCAATCAGATTTCAAGGAGGCCGAAGCATGTATTGAAGCTATTAAGGAAGAAATGGCTGAAATGGAATTGTGCTTGAAGAGGAAGAGTGTTCGGGAGCGTTGGATGTGGATTGTAATTATGATCTCTTGGTTAATCATGTATTGCATGATGTAGATTTTTCAGCTTTTAGCTTTGTGTTGTTAACTCTTTTGGTCCTCTTTTGGTTGATCAAACTATTTTGGTTTTGGTTGTTCACTAAATGTGGCTCAGTCATTGTAAGATTATGTATGTATTGCATGATGTAGATTTTTCAGCTTTTAGCTTTGTGTTGTTCATACTCTTCTGGTCCTGTTTTGATTGATCAAACCATTTTGGTTGTTCAATGAATGTGGTTCAGTCATTTGAAGGAATTAGAACTTATGACTATTTTGTTGCTTGTTGTAGTGTGTTAGGGATAGCTGCACAAAAAAAGAAGAGGTTCCCACTGCCAATGCCATATATTATGACACTTTCACATAGACACTTTCACATAATCCTTTCACATAATCCTTTCCCACTGCCAATGTCATACACACATAAATGGCAGTGAAACAACCCATTCAAATAAACTGGTATCCATTGAACACAATTTGATAGCCAAACATTATGAATGATTGTGATTGATTACAACACAATTACAAAACAAACCATTAAAAAAAGCAACCATAATATCCAAAAGACATAACCATTGTATCTGAGTTCAACAAACACATCAACCACAGCCGTTGTCACAAAATATCCATTACTGACCCCTACAAACACATCAACCACAACCATACATCAACCACAACCACAGCCATTGTCACAAAATATCCATTGTCACAAAATATCCATCCACATGAAATTGTTTTTAGTTTCCAATATCTCTGAGAACTGACCCCTACTGATCCACTATGTCCTCACTAGTTGTAACCCAATATGTTCCCAAGATCTCTGGCTCAGGCTGAGATTGCACCACATGCTTCTTCACCACTGGTCCCTTTGTTGTTGTAAAGCTAGCACCTTGAGTCAATGGATTTTTCTTGGTCACCTGTTAAATGGATAGTAAGATCATTAAAATATGTTGAAACAGACAGTGAAAATAACACAATAAAAAAAGTAGAATACATTACCTCAAGTTTTCTCCTCAAGCCCAATGTCTTGCTTTTTTGTCCCAAATCCTTTGTAGGTGTGAGACCTTTGGAGTGGCTTCTTGTTGACCTTGTAGGTGTAGCTACAGATTGAATTTGGCTTCTTGTCACCCTTGTAGGTGAAGTTACAACTGAAGGCCCTGCAGACTGACTCTGTTTTCTCATTTTAGGTGAAGTTGTAACTGAAGGCCCTGCAGACTCACTCTTTTTTCTCATTGTAGGTGAAGATGCAGGTTGTGCTTGGCTTCTTGTGAGTCTTGTTGATGCAGGCTGGCTTTGGCTTCTTGGTGAAGATGCAGGCTGCCTTTGGAATTTTGGTGAAGATGTAGGCTGCCTTTGGCTTCTTGGTGAAGATGCAGGTTGTGCTTGGCTTCTTGGTGAAGATGCAGGCTGTGCTTGGCTTCTTGTGAGTCTTGTACATGCAGGTTGGGTTTGGCTTTTTGTGGATTTTTTTGGTACAGATTCATGAACAAGTTCATGGGAATACCCATGACTTCTGGTGACCCTTGAAGGTATTGTTGCCACTGATTCCTGTGTCTGAAGAACTTCAGTTTCCTTACTATGTGCTTTCATTTTCTTTCCCTTCATAACAAACAATGTACAATGTAACTATCCATTAAATGAAAAAAAAAAAAAAAACAGACACTTCAATGAAATAGTAGACACTAATGCACTGAAACTCAACCTGAAATATTTATATATTTATATAAAACATTACCTTGGACACAACAGCTTCTTCATTAGGGACAGGTACTTCTCTCTCTGCAGAATCTTCAGCAGGGGCATACACTTCAGTTTCTCTCCCATGTGCTTTCCTCTTCCTCCCCTTCATAGAAAACAACAATGTACATGTGACTATGAAATTTGTGATATATATATATATATATATATACACATAAACACTAACTGTAATAAGGCATAAACCACAGACATGTGTAACTACTTGTGACTTTACCTTGACCACAGAGATGTCCTCATTAGGGGCACTGACTTCACTTTCTTTCAAAGTTGCTTTCCTTTTTTTACCCTTCATAACAAAAACAATGGTAAATATACCTATCCAAGTCAACATTTACAGAAATTACTATTTGAATAAAACACAAACATAAAAACAAAAAATTTACAAATATTTAACAACTACCTCAGTTGCTGCACTCTTGTCAGTTCTTAATGGACAACATCTAATGTTGTGGCTGTCTTTGTTGCAAAGAGAACACTTCATTAGTCTCCCTTTTCTACTCAGCTTCACTTGAACTTGTTTTTTGGATTTTCCTATCTGAACCACTTCATGTGGCTGCTTTTTTCTGGCATTGCCTTTTGGCCTTCCAGGCAGTCTTCCAACATATGGTGGGTTCAATGGCATTGCTTCTACACTTGGCCAGCACTCAGGAGATTGAAGAGTGCCCATCATCTCAGAATAAGCTTTCAAAAACATTTCTTTGTGATACCACTCAGCAACATAGTCCTCTGGTTGAGTGCCCAACAAGAACATGCCACTTATTGCATGCTCACAGGGGATACCTGTGAGGTCCCACTTCCTACAAGTGCAGGTATGCTCCCCCATATGAACTCTAAATCTACTTGAGCTCCCCTCTACTTCACACTGGTCTTCCCCATTCCAGTGGCAAATATAACCCATTGACTTTTTCTTCAATTCCTCCAACAACTTCATGATTTTTGGGCACAAGTTCCCATGCAAATGTTTTCTCATTTGATCCCTTCTCATGTAGGTCCTCTTCAACAGGATAAGTCTTATTGTTTCCAACATAGAAACAATAGGTTTACTCCTTGCTCTCAGGATTAGTGAGTTGAAAGACTCACTCATGTTATTCAACTGCATATCACACTTGGAGTTGCAACTATAGTGTGACCTTGACCACTGATTTGCTGGTTTCTTAGCCAACCATTCAAAAGCTTCTTTGTCCCTCCCTTGCAGTTCTTTCATTGCAGCATGAAAGTCAACAACCCTTGTGGACCGGGTTGCTCTCCACAACAAGTTTTTCAGGGCTAATCCCCTAAATGAATTTCTAAAATTTCCATACAAGTGTTGGACACAAAACCTATGCTCAGAATCTGGCAATACATTTTCAATTGCATCTACCAGCCCTTTTTGCTTGTCTGACATTATTGTCCACAAAAAAGAATTCTCAATCCCCAAATCCCCTTTCAACAGGTCAACAAACCAATGCCATGTTTTTTTAGTTTCTTTTTCAACAACAGCATAGGCAAAAGGATACATACAGTTGTTTCCATCAACACCAACTGCAGTGAGTAGAACACCACCACAAGATGATTTAAGATGACAACCATCTAAGCAAATCACCTTTCTACAACCATTCAGCAACCCTCTTTTCAATGAACCCCAACAAATGTAGATTCTTTTAAACAGTGGAACTCCATCAACAAGTTTACTTTTAATCACCACAGTGGTCCCAAGGTTAGTTTTTTTAATCTCTTCAGCATAAGACCAAAGCATGGCATATTGTTCACTGTCAGACCCCACACCAATCTTAGACACATATTTTTTAGCTTGGTACATGTGCCATCTTTTGAAAACTACCCCTACTTCCCTCTGCATTTCTGCCATCATTGCCTCTACAGGCCACTTAGGATTATCTAATATCTTGTGCTTGTAATTTTCAGCTATCCATTTTGGGTTAGCATGACTTACCTTTTGGTTTCTAGGACACTTATGCCTACCATTGTAAGTCTTAACCTGCACAGTGTCTTCATTTTGAAGTTTGGATGCATAAATAACCCAAGGGCATGACTTATTTTTGCATCTTGCTTGCACCTTATAGCTCATATTAATGATAAAACACACATCCCTACCCTGTGCAATTGCAAAGTTCCTAACTGCCTTTCTAAACATGGCCAAGTCAGGAAATGTCATGCCCAATTCAAATTGAGGATTTTTCATGTCTTTGTTATGATCAAAAGTTGGATGGCCCAATTTTTTTTTCTGCTTACACTGGCTACCTACATATTCGGGGCCATAAGTTTTATCTCTATTTACCCCTCCCCATTCAATATCAGCATCTACATGACACTCAAACAACCTATCATCTTCATCATATAGATCACAATCACTCTCAACAAGTTCATCAGAAAACTCAGAGTCTGAACCAAAAGATTGTACTTCAAAATCACTATCAGAGTCACTATCAGATTGGACTTCCAAATCATCACCCATATCATCAACATTCATTTCCCCCCAATTATCAATCATATCATCTAAATCATCCCCATCATCCCCCACAAAAGGCAAGGGTTCATCAACAGAAGGCAAATCAACAGAAGGCAAATCAACAGAAGGTTGAGTAGATATCCCTGTGCCCTCCATATGTTCAACATATAAACCGACCATTCTATTACTATCAACCCAATTAACAACATTTATAGCATCCATGTCATTTTGCAAGACAAACACAGACCGACAATCATTTACACCATTTCTACTACAATGCACACACTTAACATCTTTTATCCCAATTTCAGAAGCCATACAGAATATTTCAATCAACGAGAGTTCATCAGGGTCGCAATAGTCAATGTGCCTTACCCTCATGTGCTCACCAGTGTAACAAGTGTCACCAAGTTCCAGAAATTGCCCACCATAATGAATTGAAATGGTAAACAATTGTGAACTGGGACCTGAAGGGACAAGAATATTATCAATTTTAGACAAACATACTACCAATATAAATAGATTGCGTCAAATTCGACAAGAAAAAAAACAAAAAAAAAAGTTAGGGTTCGAAAAACAAACCGTAATCGGGGCACAGTCTTCCAGGAGGAAGATTCTCATTGTCGTCGCGTACCTTCCAGCCCATCAAGATCGCGATCAAGTTTGATTCACAATTTCTATGTTTAAATCGAAGGAAAGTTTGAGATTGGGTGTCGCGATTGAAAATCGTAGAGGCAAGAACCCTAGGTTTCTGAGTTTTTGATTTGGGGATTTTGTGAACTTTGAAAATTATTTGCTTTACTCTGTGGGATACCGAACAGTCACACACTTCAATTGGCGATCTTACCCTCAAGTTTCGAGCGTACGAGTCGCACGCTCGCTTTTCCGGTGGAATATGGACTCCGATGGCCGTTAGGTTGCGATACAGACAAAACGTGTATTAAAGGTTGCAAATAATGAAAAAAAAAACTTTAGGTTGCAAATGCCAAAAACGCGTATAGTACAGGATGCAAAAAATTATTTACCCTAAATTTTAATATCAAATATGACAAATAAATAAATAAATAACTATGTTTCTATGTCTCAACTTTTTTAAAAGATTAAAGTAAGACTACAAATTCAGATTTAATTTTTTTAGTCAATAATTAAATTCTCCTTTACTTTGTTCATATGTACTCTTTGTTGACTGATATTTTGCTGGTACTTTTCTATAATTTGTCCGGCATTTCTGAAACAAATCAGACACAATCCGAAATCACCATAATCGAGTATATGTTCATTTCGGATAAATGTCCATAATTTTGTATTATTGGATACTGGTAGTATCGGGTGATTAAACACTGACCCAAACAGAATGGGGTTTTGGACAAATTTAAAATTAAGGAGATATACATACAGGAGCCAAATCGTTTAAACATAATCTTACTAACAAAAATTTATCTAGAGAGAAGTAACAATGTATCAGAAAAAATTCTGTTGGACAATTTTTGAAGAAAACAACAATCTTTCCAAACATGCAAATAAGATCTCTTCATCAAAACTTGACTGTCAAGTTTTCTCATCTCATACTACAGATTGTCTTTCAATTAAATATACTGAAAAGTGAAAAATAAATCTAGAAACACACAACTTTGTCTTCATGCCTCGTTTGTAGGAAATTCAAACACAACATCTTTCCCCGAAAGCTTCCTGTAAACCCCAGCAAATGTCTCCAGCTTACTCTCGGTGTCGTTCTTTGCCTTGGGGTCCAAGAAGATCTGGCCATTGAAAGAAGCAAGAGTATAAGAAACTATGAAATGATTTATGCAGAAACAGTTCCGAACAACGCGTAACAACAAGGTCTAACTTGATTTAAAAAATATAAAGTAAAATATCCTCCTCGGGTAACACAAACAACTCCTTACTAAATGAACTGGTTTGTAAACCACCCTCTCAATACGGTAAATATGTCAAAAGGGGGTTTCCATATTTCAAAATTTAAACTCTTTTTTAAAATATCTGAAAGACTTGCAACATTCCCCAAGAAAAACATTAACTGAAAAAAGAAGCAGAAAACCTTCATGATCTTTGATCCATCAAGTCTGTATCTGACACGTTTTCCTACAATCTCAGCCGGATAAACAATGTCCTCGAGCATGGCATCATGCACAGCAGTGAGAGTTCGCGTTCTTGGCCTTTGGACAGCAGACCCCTTCTTTGGCGGGCGAACAATCCTCCTGGTAGCAATAAGGACCACTTCCTGCATAGTTCAACATTCACAAACTGAATACAAACTTTAAAGGTACACAATTATCTCATGACCAAATTAAAAAGTAAATAAGTAAATAAATAACAATATTGGTTTGCTATATATTCTCTCATTTCTATCATTCGGAAAATGTTATCTAATCTTTACCTTCCCACTGAACTTCTTCTCAAGCTCTCTCACGAGCCTAGGCTGAATCTTGCGGAAAGATTTCCTCAGACGGTAAGGCACATGAATCACAACAGCTTTCTTGCCTCCGGAAACATCAATTTGCCTGAGGTTAAGTTTGTACATTGATTATTACCATAGTGAAGGAAGTGAATGGGTATATAAGAAGTTTCAAGACCTACGAGGCAGAGTTGATGTATAGGTCCTTCAAGTCACTCTTGATCTCCTGGTTGGTGTTTTCCAGATCAAACAAAGCCTGTGGTACAATAAAGGTCATGATAAGCACAACACAGTCAAAATTTAATTCCAGTGGCAGAGAACCAATTGAGAAGACGGCCCATTTGACTAAGACCTGAGCTACATTCTCCTCAAACTCAGAGGGCTCAGCATCCTTGTCCTTGTGAATCTTTTGTAAGGCAGTATACATCTTGAAACTCTACACAAAGAGATGTGCAACAAAAACAACCATAAAAGTCTAGACAAGTAGATAAAATGAAAATATATATTAGCTATATATGTCGTCAAAAGGAACACTAAATGTTACCTTTCACCTTAGTCATTACTACAAGAAAAAATGAAGCCTGAATCAATATAGATAATCTTATTGGATAATCATTGTTATTAAAGAGGATTACAATATTCGGTTCTAATGCAATACAACCCCAGTTCCAGTAATAAAAAGATGAGTCAACTTTCCCATACCAATCTAACCTATTATTAAGCTCCTTGACAACAACCACATTATCAGTCAAATCTTAAAACAAAGGAAAAGGGCAGTGATTTTATTTCTAAAACACAAGAAACAAGGTCATTCCAAATCTGAACAACCACTCAATACCACATAATTTAATCACGATCCTCCTGGCCCAACATAAACAATTTTCGACATGAACATATTAAATCATTACTCACAACAGTGTCCCTCAATGAAGCGTTAGCTTACTAAAAAAAAAGCTAAAGCAATCACGAATTATTCGCAAGCATACGAAATGACCCATGAACGAGCCAAAGCACCACAGTCGAGGGTATCATAAATCAAGAACAGGGTAACTTAAACTCAGGTAGGGAATCACATTCAGATATTAGCAGAGAAAATGGAAAAATGGAAAACGAAATATGATGCGAAAGTGTACCTTGATGGAAGAGCGAAGTTGGAAAACCCTAAGATTAGACGCCGGCAAGCAATCACTTGGAAAGATGGAGATCCACTTGAAAGGGTGGAAAGAAGCTGGCGAAAATGTGATTATGTACCACCAAACTAACCCTAGCGGCTTGGGCTGGGCCGTAACTTGGACTTGGTGTCCTAGTTTTTTTGCCTTGACCGTAAATTGGACTGGTTATCCATATATTTTTGGGCTGGGCCGTACATTGGATCTGTTGCTCATGATCACATGAGAAATAATGGCATGTCCAGTTAATATAAAACAACATTACTTATATGTTACTTAGAAGGGATCTTCTATGGTCAAGTACCCCTCGTACATACTTAACATCAGATACCTCCCTTATTGACCATTAGATTGATTCAAAATTGAATATCAACTGCATATTCAATGTACGAGGCAAAAAAGAATTTGCCTCGTACATGTATTGCCTCGTACTTGACTCGTACACCTTGTACATGGCAAAAAATCTATTATACTCTTACTTTAAATTTAAACTTAAATTTAGTTTAATTAATTATAAAATATTAATTGTATTTACTTTGAAGGACATTTATTTAGATTATTTGTCTAACAATCCTACAATTACAAAAACATATGATCACATCCTCAAGTTTTGTATTATTACATATCATCTGATCATACGAATTAAAATTCTTTGTTCTTCAAATTATTCTTGCTCATCGTTGTCCGATAACTTTCAAACAAATCTTCATCCACTTCCCATAAATTTCTTCCCTTTCTCATCAAAATCCCAGAACTATATTATTATCCATACAAATGTTCGAACGATTCATGAACCATACGTACAAAATGGATACAGATGCAATCAAATTTTTATGAATAGGTTTCAACAGGCACGGTCGATTCATCTAAGTATTTTTGAAATGCGTTTGTGTTATAATGATTTTGTACTCCAAATGTAAAGACAAGAAATGTTGTTTGATATATGATTGTAAATTCTGGTCATGATTTCGATTTTTTTTTGGTAATTTTGTTATACAATTCCCTTTTCTTACCTATGGTGTTCATCCTTGTATTCAATGGTTTTGAAAAAAAAAATTGATCTGATGTGAGTAGGTGAATTTGTTGACTGAGGTTTCCTTTTATTTTTTGTTTGTCCTTATCAAGCACATTACATGTTTGATGAAATGCCTGAATAGGGATGATGAATGCGTGTTGTTTCATGTTTGTTGTTAATGCCCAGTTGATCAATTCGTGAGATGGTTTGTATTGTTTTAAGTTTTGTATTCAACTTATATTTATATGTATAAACATCTTTTATTAATCCATGGGGTATGACATCAACCTGGAATCCGTTGTGATTTAATCTCGTTTCGTTTTGTTCATGATGTTCTGATGTAGGCAATTAATTGCCAAATGACTTGTTGTTAAGTTAGCTAGACCCAAGGATGGGGGGGTTTGGGGTTCAAAGACTTAAGGGCATTCCTCTGAATGTTGTGTGCTTGAGAGGTAATCTGGTGTGGGATTGGTGCAGGTCAGGCATTTTCACTGTCAAAGAAGTCTACAACACCATCAATAATCATAGAAGGAATTCTGAGCTCAGTATGGGTGATTGCAGCAATCATAAGAAAATTTTGAACATGTGAAAAGTGACTTGGTAGCTTTCCATTCAGAGTAAGATCAAAACATTCCTTTGGAGATGCTGGTTTGAGTATATTAGTTATAGAGTCCAATTGAGGAAAAAGGGGATTGAGTGTGAAGTTGTGTGTGAAATTTGTAGGGAAGAGGAAGAAAATTTAAAACTAGTTCCATTTCATTGTCATAGAGCTAAGTTATGTTGGAAGCTGTTGGGGGTTTCTTGGGATTGCCTGGGAAATAAGGAGTGTGGGTGTTGTGGGGCTGGTTGCAATGCTAAGAATTCTCCAACCATGACAGATAGAATAAGTTTTTCCACATACCTCCTATGGTGGTTGTGGAAAACTAGGAACCATTGGATTTTTTAGAAAACTTGGATGAGGGAAGAGAGGATTGCCCAAAAGGCTAGAGATGATTGGGTCTGATATGGGATATTATAGGTCTAAAGAATATACCGGTTCGCTGGGCCGGTCGTACAAGCCCAATATTGGAAAGGCTACCTCAATCGAGCAACAGTGGACTGAAAGGAAGTGGTCGAGCATCGGAGCAGACCTGGTCGAAGATCGACCTACTAGAGGAGAACTCATTTGATCGACCACTCGATAAGTGAAGAGCAATCGAGGGCGTGGCTTGAATGCGAGAAAGCGCGTGGACTTCGTCAGAGAATCCCAATGGAATATGCAGGAGAATAATCACCCTCTGCTCAGAGGGGCACGTGGCGAGAATACATTGGTGCAGAGCAATAGTGGCTATAACCACCCCTAACACCTCTGACACACGCACACTGTGTGTGTACGGACGGGCAGCGCTGGGAGGATAGCTCATCAAATCTGGGTAGCTCCTAGGGCAGGTATCTCACTCCTATATATATAGGAGTGAGCCTTTCTTGTTACTTACGATTTATTCATTTTATACTTATGAGAATTGAGTGAAATATACACTGACTTAAGCATCGGAGGCTCTTCACCGGAAAACCCCCCGGTGTGAGAGTTCTTTGCAGGTACGCGGTGTTCTAACGGCGAGGAGGAGGAACGCGAGCCGATTTCAAGCCGGTCGGAGTGTTTTGCGTTAACATTTTGGCGCCGTCTGTGGGACTTTCGTTCGAAAAGTGGTGTGCTAAGATTACCGAAGCTTAGTAGCTATGGCGGACGGAATTCCTAGGAGAGATTTGCAAGCATCGTTCGACGAGACGTGGACGACGACAAGGCCATTTGGAGCAGGCCCTCCTCCGGGCTTCTCCGGACCCTTGCCAACACCGGTGACCGATGTCTGTTCCACAAGGTGTGGGGGTCACGCCGGTGCATCCTGAAGCTGATGTGGGCTCAAGCCGAACTTAGGAGGCCCGTACGACTCAAGGAACGACAATTCCACTGCCGTTGCAGCCAGATCTGACCGTGGCGCTGCAACAAGGAGCGGTGGTGCAGGGAGTAGTGCCGCCGTGAGTGGAGGAGCAGCGCCTCGGCCAACAGGTGGTGATGACTAGGCAGAAGATGCAACAGATGATGGCGAATGCGGCGGCACAAGTGGTCCAGCAGGTCACCCAAAGCCTTTCTCGAGTGGCTGCTGGGCCGACGATCGTGGAGGAGGATGTGTCTAGCTATGGGGGAGATGGAGCTCCGCGAGATCTGGAGGTGAAGAGACTCGCGGAGCAGGTGAGACAGATGCAGGCCAAGATGGATGGTCAACCTGAGAGGCGTGCTCGAGGACACCCGTTCTCGAGGGAAATATTGGTTGCACCATTACCCGCGAATTTCAGGGACATGAGTTTTGGTGTTCAATGGGACTTCTGACCCATCGAGGCATGTAAGGGCGTTTGAGAACTTGGCTGTGTTACATGGTTATTCTGATTCTGTTAGTTGCAGGGCATTTTTGTCGACCTTGAGAGGAGGTGCGCTCGACTGGTTTCAGCAGCTCCCTCATGGATCGATCAAAGATTTCGACGATTTTGCGGAGAAGCTGATGACCCAATATGCGCGTGCTGTGGTGCAAGAGAAGACGTATTTGACTTTAATGGCCATGAGGCAGGGGGAGAAGGAGTCGCTGCGCAAGTACGTGGCTCGATATAATCAAACTTGTTTAGAGATCCCCACGGCTGCTGACGAGGTGAAGGCTGGAGGGTTGATAAAGAGTTTACGAGCAGAGCCCTATCGAACATCCTTGGCTAAAACCCCTGCTCGTACATATGACAATGTGTTGAAGAGGTGCAAGAAGTATATTAATCTAGAGGAAACGGAGGCGGAGTTTGCTAAGTTGGAAAAGTTGGCTAAGCCAGAGCCCAAGAAGGGGAGAGCGAACTCGCCTAGGAGGGTGTCGCCAAGGAGGAGATCGCCCAAGAGAGAAGGGCGTGGCAGGATGGACCGAGGACGGGAAGATAGGTGGAAGGATCGACTAGTATTTAGAGGAAAGCAGTTCCATAACTTTACGCCGCTGAACGCGAAGATGAGAGAGGTGTTGGTGGCCATTGAGAAGAAGATAGATGACAAAGATTTGACGTGGCCTAAGTCGAGGCATGAAGGACCGACACAGCTTAGGTCGAGGAGGTACTGCCGTTTTCATAAGGATTACGGGCATACGACAGAGTAATGCAGGCACCTCAAAGATGAGATCGAGCGCCTCAGTCCCAAAAAAGTTTCCGAAGACGTTTGGCATTACAGCGGGACATCTCAAGGAGTTTGTGTATGAGGACAAAGTGAAGGGGAAGGATAAGGGGAAATGTCGAGAAGATTCGGTGGAGAGAAGTGATCGAGATGATGATGAGGAAGATGAACCTTGAGGAGGAAGAGGTGATCGAGGAGGCGCTGGGGGTAAGTGGAGACGAGGGAGCAGAGATCGAGGAGGTCAGGAGGATCAGGGCCTTGTGAAGAGAGGGACAATATATATGATTTCAGGATGACCAACTGATGGAGACTCGAACAATGCAAGGAAGGGGCATGTTCGAGCAATAAAGAGGAAGAGAGAGGAGGTGGGGATTACTGCTCGAATGCCGGAAATAAGTTTTCGGGCAGAAGATGCGGAGGGAGTGGTGTTGCCCCACAATGACGCGCTGGTGATTACGGCGGAGGTGGCAGGCTTTGATGTGAATAGGGTGTTCATTGATACCGGGAGTTCGGTGGATGTAATGTTTTATGATTGTTTTGTGCAGATAAACAAGGAGCTCAATCTCGAGCTGAAATCAGCGACCACAGCCTTATACGGATTCAATGGAGGTGAAGTGATGCCAATGAGAGAGGTGAGTCTATCTGTCGCACTGGGGAAAGGAGCGACAAGGAAGGTGAGAATGGTAAGGTTCGTGGTCGTGGGTGCGGAGTCATCATACAACATCATAATGGGGAGGACCAGTTTGAATGCATTCCCGGTAATCGTGTCGACGTACCATTGGTGAGGTCGCAGGGGATCAGCTTACCTCGAGGAGTTGTTATCAAACCACGGTGAGCAACAATAAACAGCTCGCGAGGAAGCAGGTGAAGTCAGAAGAGGGAACGCTGAATCGACCTGCGAGTTCAAGGTCGAAGGAGGAAAAGAAGAAGGCAGAT